TCTTCAATTGTGACTTTTCTTGCATGCAAAGTAACGTATAAAATCGTGTTCTTGTGTAAGTTATAATTATATAAAATAAGTTGGCGACCAAAATTTTTCTGTTAGTCGCCAGCTGGCTCCCGAACGAAAAAGTTAATTTCGAGCCCTGTATTACTATTTTTCTTATAAGAAACAAAACTTCCATTCAGAGAAGATATAGGTCATGTGCTAGGCAATGCAAAATAATAAATAATCAGGAACCCTTTTATGATCTATTTGCTTAGTGCTCAGATATTGTCACAAAGCAAATAAAGATAGGAAAGCAAAAATGTTGTTACTAATTTCTCTTTAAATATTGAAGCAATCAGTAGAATGCAACTTCTACATTGTGTGCTGATCTTGATGCAGTGTGGCTGTAATTAGTTTGAAGCTTACAGTATGTGGGGTAACTCTTTACTGGAAGAGAAAGTTCTGAAATGCTTTTCTCCAATCTTTCCCTTCAAGGTAAGCAATTCTCACTGTCAGAATTGTTTCATTGCCACGTTCCACTTCTCTGTTGCTCTGTGGCCAATAGGTTACGCCCTTCTTGTGGCTTATCCCCAGGTACTCTAGGAAGCCCTCAAATTCCTTTGATGCGAATGGTGGTCCATTGCCACTGCGAAGAGCTTCTGGTAATCCATGTGTCCTGAAAATAGCTTCCATACTCCTTTTCACGTGTTGAGCATCCATCTTCTTCAGGAGAATGGCCTCTAGTCAGCAAGAGTAATAGTCGACAACCGCCAAGAGGTGTTCACCATTTGAGATCTCAAGAAGAGCAACTGAGATCTCCTGCCATGACCCATCAGGCCAACTGCTTGACCTCACAGGTTCTGGTTTCGGTCTTGGTCCTACAAGCTGACAGGGATGGCACGGACATATGGCATCCTCCACCTGTTTGGCCATTTGGGGCCATCACACTTTCTCTCACAACCTGGCTTTAGTATGGACCATGCCCTGATGGCCTTCGTATGCCAACATGACGGTTTGTTTCCAAAGGCCCTGAGGCATCACAATACGAGTTCCTCTCATCACTACTTGTCATACTACCCACAGTTCTTCTTTTAGCGCTTTGTAGATGGTGACTGACAAGTGGGCCCAGTCACCGGTCAACACAGCTTTGTGCACTATCTGTAAGGTTGACCCTAAGGTTGGCTCATTTGCTGTGGCAGTCTCAACTTGCTTTGGCAGTAAAGTGGCTGGCACCGCTGCACTTGCCATGCTGTATGCAAAATCTTCAGTATCTCGGGTGTCCTCATCTTGAGTTGAACCAACAGGCAGGTGGCTGAGGATGTCTGCTGCACAATCTTTGCCTGGTATGTGTGTCAACGTGTATTGGAATTGCTGCAAGTACATCAGCCACCTTTCTATCCAGGCAGATGGAGGTTTGGACTTTTCACTGAGTACTGTCACTAGTGGCTTGTGGTCAGTGCAGACCTCGAATTTATTTCCATATAGGTACAGGTAAAACTTCTTCCGAGCCCATCTGACAGCTAGAGCTTCTCTTTTAAATTGGGAGTACCTTGCGTCAACTTTGCTAAACTTCCGGCTAGCGTAATATATTGGCCGGTAGGTCCTGTCTTCTTGTTTCTGCTCCAGGATTGCTCCAACTCCAACAGGAGAGACATTGGTTGTGAGGCATGTTGTGGCACCTTGTCTGTGGTGCTCTAGTTAGCAGGTCTTTGATTTCTTGAAAGGCTTTCCTCTCTTTTGTGCCGCTGCCACTTAACATCTTTGCTGGTTAGGTCCCTTGATATGGTTGTGAAGTTTGAGATGAACTTCGCACAAAATTGAACTGACCTGAGGAAGCTTCTTACTTCAGACTGGTTCTGGGGCATTGGTGCTTCAACGATAGCTTTCACTTGCTCACTGGAGGCTTTCAGTCCTTGACCAAAGAGTACATCACCCGTGTAAACCATGCTGCTAACACCAATGTCACACTTATCATAGTTCAGGGTGAGGCCAGATTCCTCCAGCTTGCACATGACCCTATCTAAGTTCTCATTGTGCTCTTTGTCGTCTGCCCCAATGACTCGCAGGTCATCATGGAGGTTGTATGCACCTGGGCAGCCTTTAATTACTTGCCACACGATTTGTTGGAATTTTTCCATGGCCACGTTCATGCCAAAGAGTAAGCGCTTGTACCTGTATAAACCATCAGGGGCAGCAAATGTAACGTCCTTAGAGTCTGGATGTCACTCAATTTGGTGGAAGGCCATCTTCAGGAGACCTCTTGAAGTGTCTTTTCAACTGTTGGAACTGGGTGTTTCTCCTGTTCAATGGCCTGATTTGCTTGCTTCATGTCAAGACATATTCTAATGTCACCATTAGGCTTCTCAACTACAACTAAGGGATTCACCCAGCTGGTGGGTTTCTCCACCTTTTCAATTACACCAAATTTGAGCAATTCCTCTAGCTTCTCAGTGACTTAAGCTCTTCTACTATAGGGAATTCTTCGTACTGACTGAGCAACTGGTTGAACATTCTCATCATTGTGGAGTTTTAGCTAATACCCTTTGAGCTTGCAGCCAAGACCTTGAAATACTTTCAGGAATTTGGTCTTTAGTAGGGTCTTTCTGTCAATTTGGTTTGCAAGGTTTTCCATGTCATCAGATTTAAAATCACAGCTGTTAATGGACATGCCGACCCTTAACACGCCCAGCAACTCAGAGGCTTTGCAGCCTAGTAGCGTTGCTGCCTTACCGCACATTACATAAAACTCAGTATACAGGGATTTGTGGGTCTGTGGTACCTACACATTAAAACTATACTTCCCTTTAAGCTGAAGTGGTTCTACAGAAGCATAAGCATAAACTCTCTTATTACACTCCAACAATCTAACATTACCCCTGTTACAAAATTAAACATTTCCTCTGACATTAAATTACAACTAGCACCAGAGTCTATAAAAACTTCTACACACCTATCTTCAATCGTAAGTTCCAAAGTGTTCTGTCCATCAGTGCTCCCGGCGTTGAACAAGTAAAAATCATCACTGCCTACACAGTTCTTGGCACTTGTGTCTCCGGTCACCTTGTGTACATCATGTGGTTCCTTTGAATTTCTTCCTCTTCTACGACTGGGTTTTGTTCGTGAGCTTCCACGACCATAGACTATGAGTAGTCCCTCTTTCGCTTAGTCTGTCTTGTGTGATGTGAAAGAAAACCGCAAGAAAAAAATGGCCGCGAAATCCTGGGGGTGAGGAGCACGCGAAAGGTAGGACTACGACCTAAGCCACAGAGTTTGACCTTTCACGGCGGAGTGATTTTTTGGTGTAGGATTTCTCATCTTGACATCCTCTTATTATCGCCTGTTGTCAATAACCTTGGGAGATATCCTGAATAAAATTGCTCTACTCTACCCTTCAAGTAGCGAGGCAAAAACATATGCTGTGAGAAGTATATCTTCGTTCAGTGTATGCCAAAGAAGTTTAAAAAGAAAGATGGCAAATGAGGCATCTTGTAACAATTTTCGCTGCGTCTGTAAGTGTAGATCTAAAAGTTATTACAAAAATTTTACATGCAGAGTTTCAACCGAGAATTTACATTATGTATTTGACATAGGAGATCATCCAACTGCGGTGAAATGTTTGCCAATAGCAGTGGAAAGTTTTAGGTGAATGTCCGGTTTCAAGTGAAAGTCCTGTTCAATCTTTCAAATGAACGGCAGAAAGGCCAAGCTCAATGAATTCATATTCGCTGACTTGGACAATGCTGTTGAGCGGCAAAATCACTAACACGCTCACAGTCAGGTTGGAGGCGGAATGTTTTGCCAAACAAAACACTGGATACATTTAAATCTTTCCAAGGCCTGTTGGCAGATTCACAAGAACATCATGGCTTGCAAAGCGCGATTCCAACGCTTCGATTTGCTCTCAGGTACCACTTAGATTTGCTCCGGTTCCAAAACATTCCTGCAAGACGTCACACGTATCTCGACTGTTGACAACACGTTGTCAACGCTCCTAAAATAAGCCAATCATATTTTTGAGTTGTGAGAGCAATGCATAACTCAAACTCCCTGGCTTAGGTGGTAGTCCCTCCTTTCGCGTGCTCCTAACCCCCAGGATTTTGCACAGTTTTTTTTTTTCGCGCTTTTCTTTTGCGTCACACATGATGGACTAAGCGAAAGAGGGACTACTCGTAGTCTACCACGACCACGACTTGAACTGCGGCTAGAGTCTCATCCTTTATTCTGCTTGGAGTGACAACACACTTCAAAATGACCCATTTGGCAGGAATTGAATTATTGAAAACATCTCAGACTTTGGGCCCAGTGAGGTGAAGTAGTAGCGCTCTAGTAGTAGGGTCGCTGATTCCAGAGGCAGTAACATAGAGCTCAAATTCTTCTTTCCAAGTGAACCATCATTGTGCAAGTGTAGCTGGTTCACCAACAGCGTCGAACACCGGCAATCCAGGTAATCTGCTCAATCATATGGCCATCTGTGCGAGGTTTGTCCACCATTTAAACTCATTTCCACTTCAGCAGCCATTCGGCGAGTTAAATATCCTATTCTCGTCGCCAAATGTGGTGTCTTCGTCCTAATATACTAAACATCTTGGTTCATAACAACATGTTTTAATAATTTAACATCTCCAGACCACATGCTTGCTACAATATATCCCATAATAATAAAACAGTCAAATTGAACATACTGGACACTACAATTAGCAACATTATTGGCTTCCTCTTCAGTGGGCTTAAAAACAGCCTTGACAAAAAAGGCCTAAAAGTAATGATGTGTCTGACTACATCTGGTGTGGTTAGGGTATCATGTATGTTAACACTGGTGGACTTTCCCTTCAGGAGGATGAGCAAAAAAAGAAGCGTAAACGACGTCATCGTGAACCTTATTATTATGATGCTATGGATGACGATGAAAGTGAAAGTGAGTCAGAATCTGACTCAGAACCTGAGCCTGCTCCCCCTGGGGAAGAAATGTCACCAATGGAGACTGGAAAAGAGGATGAGCTGTTGCCCCCAGGGGTAGAGGCTGAGGCACCAAGTGTAGAGGAGAATTTGCTTCCACCAGGTCAGTAGTTATGAGTGTTGAAGTTTCATGCAGAAAGGGGTTAAAAATGTGATCCTTGTGGACATGTTCTTGTCTTGCAATGAAGTTATCATCTCAGGTGAAACTGTCTATAGGAAAATACTAAAAGGGATTGTGTGAATATAACTTAGGTGTTGACAACTAGACAGTTTTCTTGGACCTTTGTTATTCTTGACAACAGGTGGTAAAAAAAAGTCCTGCTTTGTATTTGTGCAATCAGGATATCCCTAGAATAGATCTTAAACCACATTTAGTTGCCATTGAGATCTTATCTTACAGCAAAAGTTTTCTTTTCTATATTTTTTGTTTTAATTGGGGGAGGAGAGTTCAGAAGACAGTTATTAGAAAATTGCAGAAGTGCTAGTCTTCAGAAATTACTTGGGGGAAAAAATACTCAGTTTGATGTTCTTATAAATGCTTGAACAGTTCCATGGTTCTAGGCAAAATACACAGAATTTGGTCAGTTCACCTTGTTGTTTATGGAGTACAAGATAGGAATGTACCATGATTTATAATGTATGAACTGTGGAGCCATTGATTAATAGAAGTTGTCCTGTCACAAATCGAAAATTTTGGCCGTTCAAAATAAATTCATTTAAAGCTGTGGAGCCTAACAGAACACTTAATTGTCCCCATGGGAAGTTTTGTTCCCAGATCAGGTTAACCAACAAAACCCACTGTTTCTTATTTAAGTGTAGAGCTCATTAGCACACTTGTTATTTGGTTATTCATGTACTTGTAGGAGTGGATGACCCAAAAACATGTCAAGTTGAAACCAGTGTTCAGCTTCCAACAAGCTCATCAAGTGCTGAAAAGCAGTCCATGTCATCAACAGAAGAAAAACCAGGCCAGTAAACATTCCATTGTGATTTTCAACAAGGAGAGTGCAGTGTTGTGTGCTTTGATATGTTGTATGATGAAATCAAATGCTATTGTGCATGACTTTCTTAGCTCCTAAAGCCATCACCCTGCATTATAAACTGAGCCATTTGACAGCAAAAATCCAGCAGTATCACCCACTTGTAAAGGACACTTAAATTCACTTACAAGAAGAGGTGGTACATTTTCTTAATGCATAACCACATGATGATAGGTCATTTCCGAGTTACCTTTTACCCGGGGGGGGGGGAGGGGTACTCCCAGAAAAATTTGGTGGGGGTGTGCGGCCCTCTTCCCAAAACCCCTACCCTATTTACGACCAAAATCTGCGATATTCCCTACCGTATTTATGACCTGACCAAAAATTTGAAACACTATTTATGACCTGACCCTGAAATCAAAACCCTGTTTCAGGCCTGCATTATAATTAGTTCCCTACTTCAGACCAATGTTAAATTACAGTAAACATAATTTGTGAAGGACTTTTGTTGATTTTCCTTTCGATAATGATGAAAAAATGGTCAAAATCAGCTAAAATTAATACCCTATTTATGACCAAAACGGCTGAAAAACCATACCCTTTGGGGCCGCACATACCTATGTAGCCCATATCAGGGAGTAACCCCCCTCCCCCCCTCATCCTCCCCCCCCCGGGCCTTGTACCTCTCTTTCAAAACGAGTCCTCATTCAAAACATTTTATATGAAAATGAGTATGATTTTGCATGAAAACAAACCTGTAGGGGGAACACATTTCCATATTACTGGTTTCGCACGAATACTTGTTTTGACACAGAGGCAAAAGACAACTCAGAAATGGCTTATTATGTACATGATCGATAGTTGATGGTGTTCTCACTGTAAATGTAAATAAAATATTTAGATTCCTGTGAGCCCTCAGTTGATTCTAGTCAGCCAGAGACCAGCACAAGTAGTAATGGTGCAAAGACAGAAGAAGAATCACTTGCTGTGGTTGAAAGCAGCAGAAAACCAGAAATGTCAGGTAATACAAGGAAGTTGTGACAGAAACCTGGGTGGAGTAATGTTTAATCCCCAGTGCTGGTGTCAAATGTTAAATTTCTTTGCTTTATATAACAATTTAGGCAAACAGGTTATGTGTCAAGGTATCAGTATACCCCAAATGACCATCATTCGCAGTGTTTCAGCCAGAAAATTTTACTTGAGGGCCAAAGTGGCCCCTGAAGATCTTTTTTAGGGGCCAATTTTTTTTAGGAAAGGGGCCAATAAACTGAAAGCTGCAGAAGGAAAAAGTGCATCAGGGTACCAAGGAAAATAGAGCAGTTTAATAGGATCTATGATAAAATTTAATAGTAAGTGCTTTTTGAAGGGTTTCTACTCAACAAAGTTTCTTTTGAATCAAATACTAGTACGAAGGATCCGAGAACAATCCTTAGGCCAATATGACGTGGTCAATGATCAAGGGTTTGCAATGCATTATAGGGCAATTTCAAACATGGTCAGCCATTTAGAAGTGTTCTGATATGAGAGAATCAATACAGCAAAGCAAAAGGACGGATTGACTTCTTTTCTTATGTTGAATGTTTTAGAAACAAAGATCTTTCAATATGATTTTCTAGAAGGACATAATGTGTGACAAAATAACTGTTATTGATCGTCAACACAGAGAAATGTAGTCGCCATTATGCCGTATTATGGCGATTAAACCAGAATTTTTTGGTTGCCAAGGATGAAATGCTTGTTCACCGCGCGGCCGTATATATTGGTTGAACTGACATGTGGGTAATTCTAAAATGTACATTTAACTTTTGCACTAAAGAGGGACAAGTGGCACTACTTAGTACCTGACATTACATGACATAAAAAACCGCGTGGAAACATAGTATACAACACTTACGATGCTAGAACGCATGCCTCTTACCTGTTGGGTTCTACCATAAGGAAAACTACTCAACATTTGTGTGTTTGCGTGTATGCAATGTATCCTCCACCTAATGTATAGAAGACACGAACGCTAACTAATCTGCGCATGCATTTAGAGCAAATTGGTTTTATTCTTAAGAGAATAGTACCACAAGGAGAGCAAGGGGTTACTTGAAACAAATGTATAGCTTTGCGATGTTTACTCCCAACTGACATAGATATAACACATCTTACGTAGGGTACACGTGTACCTTTCCCAGCTCACTCCCACCATTTCCTTGTCGCTAGACTAATTAATTAATTGAGATTAATTAATTAAACAAACATTAAAGTTTACACCTCAGTGCATTAATGCTTAGTGACTTAGTGACTTAGTGACTTAGTGACTTAGTGCCTTAGTGCCTTAACGGCTTAGCGGCTTAGCGGCTTAGCGGCTTAGCGACTTAGCGACTTACTGCCTTATTGCGGTAGTGCGTTAGTGCCGTAGTGCCGTAGTGCCGTGGTGCTGTGGTGCCTTAGTGCCGTAGTGCCGTAGTGCCGTAGTGCCGTAGTGCCGTAGTGCCGTAGTGCCGTAGTGCCGTAGTGCCTTAGTGCCGTAGTGCCTTAGTGCCGTAGTGCCGTAGTGCCGTAGTGCCGTAGTGCCGTAGTGCCGTAGTGCCGTAGTGCTGTAGTGCCTTTGTGCCGTAGTGCCGTAGTGCCTTAGTGCCGTAGTGCCTTAGTGCTGTAGTGCCGTAGTGCCTTAGTGCCGTAGTGCCTTAGTGTCGTAGTGCCTTAGTGTCGTAGTGCCTTAGGGCTTAGTGCCTTAGTGTCGTAGTGCCTTAGTGTCGTAGTGCCTTAGGGCTTAGTGCCTTATGGCTTTAGTGCCTTATGGCTTTAGTGCCTTATGGCTTTAGTGCCTTAGTGTCTTCATGCCTTCGTGTCTTCATGCCTTCGTGCCTTAGCGCCTTTGTACTTTAGTGCCTTAGCGCTTAGCGCCTTAGTGGCAGGCAGCCCCCAAAACCATCTCGGTAGTGCATTCTGCACTAAAAAACGGTGTCAGGACATTTTGATTACTTGTATAGTTTGTTAAACTTTGAGACTTGATAAAACATGCATTCTCTTCACTAAAATAGTCATAACTTTTGAAAGAAGCAAAAACTATTAATTCCCTGCCACCGCTTTGTTGCCTGATGATCAGGCAGCATTTCTCCAAATTTGAGCAAAAAATGTTAAAAACTCCCTGGAAATGAACTCAAAAGGTGTGCTTCACTCTCTGAAATTTTTGTTTTGAGATACAAAGGAAAATATACCTTGGGTCGTTCTTCTGGTGTAATGAGATAAGAAAGTTTTACGGCACAAGCAGTAAAATGCAGTTAATGGTGCGTGACATGCAAACCTCAGAAACATTTAGTTATTGTATTTAACTATGTTAGAACACTGAAAAAAAACAGTATGTTTGTCACCTGCAGAGATTGAGTGAGATCCTTGATGCTTTATTGTGTTAAGTGTTGCAAAAGACAGAATCGCTGACTGCAATTTTAGTATTTTCAGTTGCGAAAGATTGTGTAGTCTTATCACAATATGATCTGCATCATGGCAGTTTTCTATTGGTTACACCCATAGACATGTCTAGCTATGAAAGCACCATTATTCAGGGTAAAAGCACTTCCCTTCAGTGGGATGCTGTACTCAGTAAGCTTTGTTCAAAAGTAAAGAAAATTCCTACCCTCCCTCCCTGTGTGGGGGACGTATTTGTTTGTCAATAAACCTGGGGGTCACCTCCTTCGGTTTTGGCAGTTAAGTCTTCGGGTAGCGACTTCCCCCAAGCTTTGGGCAGTGATTTGCCCCTTTCATTTGTGCACCTGCTAATGATCTTGTCTGATCCGGTGCTGGCTTCCTCAGCGCCGAGGAGATAAGTGAGGCTTTTAAGGTCATGCATTCAAATTTGACCTGCCAATACTCTTGTCCATTTCCAGTGCGGGGTAGTGCTGGTGATAGGTGAGGCTTGAAAGGTTAACGTAAATCAAAGTTATTGTAATCAAGTTGACCTGCTGTTATTCTTGTCTGTTTCCAGTGTGGTAGTGCTGGTGACAAGTGAGGCTTTTATAGGTTACACAAATCAAAGTCACTTCCCATGCCAACCCGCAAGGTTGTGTCCCCCTACATTACGCCAAATGATGCGTGGCTTTTTTTATTTAATGATATATGTGCTATAATAATAATGGGCTATAATAACACACAAAAGTGAACTCTCACGGAATAGGGACATTTATTACACAAAACATGTGAAAATAATAATGCGTTGATCGATAAAGTGAAGGCTCATTTTTAAAGTTGTGGATACCCGAAGTGTAGAAACATGTTTGTTGCACGGACTCCAATATGCAAATGTGTCACTCACTCTCTCAGGTGTAGACACTGTTCGTAATTATTTGGCCCGAACAAGAGTGCCCAAGCTCGACGCCATTTTGGAATAGTAACCAAGCCCAACACCATATTGGAATAGTAACCGAGCCCAGTGTCATACAGGAATAGTAACCACACAGGGAGTCCTCACATCCATTTAGAATATGAATAAAAGATTAACCTACCTTTATCACACGTGTTTTGTGTTGGCCATTATGAATTTTTAGACAGAAATTTTTACAGAAATTACAGAAGTCTGGGATGGGCGGGAAAATTCGCAAATTCCCGGAAGATCCGATTGCTCACTGAGGATAATAAAGTGACAAGGTCGATTTCTTCGAGCTCCAAGTGGGCTCTGAGCAAATCCCTTAATTTCGGTTTCAGACCTCACACTAGCATACAGCACGCGTGTTAAAAATTCAAAATGGCCACCATAAAACACAAAACATGTGAGACAAAGGTGGGTTAATCTTTTATTCATAATCTTAACAGATGTGAGGGCTCCCCGTGTAACCGTGCAGTCAGTGCTAGCCTCGCTATCATGTTTGCATGATTACTACTCAATGCATGCGTTGAGCCAGCCCGAATGATGATTTTGTAGCTTTTACATGACCATTAATATTAGGTCTTTCGCTAAATTGAAGTGGAGTTGACTTGGAATGTTCGAATTAGTACTATGGCCAACTGGAAGGCTGAATTTCACGATCATTTGACTTGTCCAGGCATTAAAAATGACCAGCAGATGTGCATTTGTTTGCTGGAAAGTGACCCGAAAATGAGTATATCTCATGCTAATGTGGTAAGCTTTGATGAGAACATGTCTTATTCGTCAACCTTAATGAACTTATATGAGCGAAATGAACAATTTTTAATGAATGAAACAGCTATTGAAAACAGGACAAACATAGGCACCATTATATGATATTGTAATTTCATTTTTATAATTTAGTAACATCTAAACCTGAGGCCAGCCAAAATATTGTTTTAAATATAAGCTAAGCTTATGACGTTGTGTCAGCTTTGCAGTAGCAGTAGTCTTTGGCTTATTATCATTTTACTTTTCAAGTTTGGCTGATTAGATCTCCTGTGAGATCCAACATTCAATCAAGCAGGACCTTCATTGACAGCTCAGCAGTTTATAGCACTTAAGTCTTCCATGTTGAGTAGTCCACGTTCAACTGACATGGATTTAAGTTTAGGTGAAAGTTGAGTTCCCTATACTTGTCTTGTTTATTTTGGTACATTGATCTGAACTCTGAATGGGATGTGAAATGCACATAAACTTGGAAAAAATTCGCAAATACTTGATTTTGACAAGCTTAAATGATTTTTACCCTGTCTTTTGTTTACACTTTTGCTTCCTGATTGAAAAGATAACAAAGGGAAAGACAACCTCGTTCCCAGGGTTTCTCATCTTACCGTCCCCTGGAGCGAGCAAAGAGAGACCCTGGTTGGGTCTGGTCACGTGTCTCCCGGAATCTGGGAGATGACAATTAAATTATTGAAGGGATGGGCGGCTTAGTAGGAATTTTGTCTATACTTAGCCCATGGGAGTGCAGGATGTGTTGTCACCAAAGTAATCCGTACCAAGAACGATATGATGTTCTGCAGCAATGTCCAGCGGTAATATTCCGCAAACGCCAAGGAAAACTTATCCATCATCTGATAGCGGAAATCTAAGTCGCTGAAGGTTGTATGGTTCAGTGAAGGACGTTA